CTAAAAGCTTAAGTATAAAAGAAAAAGGGATGACTGTTGGTTCTCAAAAGCTTGTGTACATGGGACAGGTGGCTAAATCTTGGATTCAGAGACTTGAAATAACATCTTTCAAGTAGTTGCTGCTGATTTAACTTTTGTGGATCGCTTGGCGTAATAATCGAATGTCACAACAATTAACACGGTGCTGAAAGAAAGCATGTCTCTTTTAGCAGCACTTGTTCAGAGTAACTTCTCAGCAAATATTGTACTTGTAATGCTTGTATCTGCATGTAAAGTTGTGTCTTCCTCTTTATTTAATGTATGCACGTGACAGTAGATTCTATCAGAAGTATGCTAATACTTAGCCGTAGATGAATCTTGCTGAAATTAAACTGAATTTGAGGTCAAGCAGAGGTAATTTATTCATTTGGAAATTATTCTGGCTTATGGTGGACTAGCTTTGGATAAATGAACTTATTGCAGCAATTATCCTGAGATTACTGGTATGAAGCCTATAAAATGTATTTTTAAATGCTCTCTTACCATTTAAGAAACTTTCTGTCCTTTAATCGAAATGATTTCAGGGGGCTGTACCCAAAGGAAATGCCACTAAAGAATACATGGATAATTTGCAACTGAAACCAGGAGAAGTGATCTACAAATGTCCAAAATGCTGTAGTATCAAACCTGAACGTGCACACCATTGCAGGTATGCCATAGTTTTCTTTGAAGCAGTTACGTGTATTGAGTCTTGGAATAGTGTTCCTGATATTTATGTATGTTTTTTCCCCACAAATTTCTTTTGTTATCCAATAAACTTTCAAATTCATACATTGCAGAGTGTTTTATAAATATAATACACTATGGCCAAAAATGAATGTGGATGAGGGGAAGGAAGCAAGAGACTCGAGAGTTTTTAAAAATAATCATACTGTGCTGTCTTAAATAGTTTTTGATCTTTGAATATTTTTTCTCCTGTGTGTGATTCCAATTATTGTGCCTTACTGCTGATAATACAGGGCAAAGGGAGGAATCTCAAGGAAATTTCTGATAGAAGCTGATTAAGAAATTACTCCTGCAATGTTAAATTAAGAAAATACAGCTTAGTTTTAAATTATCATGTTAATTTGTGTCTTCTTGTCTTCATTGTGCATCATTTGAAGCTGTATGTGAATTGGCAGGTTATTTTCCCAAAATTGTATGCATAATTGTTTAAATGCACTTCAGCTTACTGAAGATTCATTTTAATGAGGACAGAAGTGATGATAACTTTAAGTAAACATGCTATGGAAGAGATAGTAAATTTATCCATTTTTAATTAATTCTCAATATTTTGAGTTTTCAGGAACTGTGGATATGCGCTTGTAATGTTTATTGTGCGGTAGTTTAAAATAGATACGCCTGCATAATTAAGACTTGTGTAATATGTAAATGTTTCTGGTGGCTCTGTCTAGGTGTGAGGAGAGTGTTGTGTATTGAATTGTGTGACATATTAAATTTAAGTCTCTGAGTGAGTGCCCGTCAAAAGAACAGAGTGGAGTCTTGTCAGGACTTCCAAATTAATCTATAAATTTGTGGTTTCTAAATTAAATGTCTCAGTGTATGTCACTTATCTGTGTGAAAGTTATGGCTGAGAAGCTATTTTGATTATAAATACTCAGCCTTGGCACTGAAATCTTGTTCTTCTCTCAGATGTGAGTCAGTTTTTGTATCTGGAGTGTGAAGGGAAAAGTTTCACGTATAAATAGTCAAGTACAGAATTATCGTCAGTTAGTTCATGCGTGTTGTAGGCTAGCTTTTGCATGGGTGCAGATACTAGGCCTGCCTTCACGTGCAATGAGTTTGGTTCTGGCTGGCTTTATTAGCTCTGGTAGAGCATTACATGAACACAGCGGTACCGGTTGCTGGCTGGGCCTGGGGTTGGAAGCAGTGCAGCTGCTTTCTTGTGGCAGAATGTAAGTTGTTCATCTCTGGGGATCCAAAACAGCTTTGTGCAGTCTGTTCAGATATCCTGGCGTTGTGTTCATGGGATGTGGTAAGGGGATACCTGAGAGCCTCTGGTGAGTGTAGGCTGGATGTTGCTAATTTTCTCACCTCAGATTTAAGCTGATTCCTGCAGAGACTTTGCAGGTATCTTTGTAAAGTGTTTCCCACATCTTCGGTCCTGATAGGATTTACTAATTGGGAAGTAGCCCTAAATGAAGACATCTTATGTTGAAGTCTGCGTACGGGCCAAAAAGCTGAAGTATTGGAGAGCCTCAAGCCCATGCAGCTGCACAGCTCTGTGTGGGCAGTGCTTGTCTGTTAGACCTGGAGCTAACAACTGTCTAGGTTTCAGGCAAGCCCTGCAGAGTCCCTTGGGTACATCTGATCCATCATCCTCAGCAGACACTGTGTTATCTTGGATGTTCCAGTAGCCTGTGAACCCACTTGAGTGGTATTGACAGAAAAAATATTTCCTCGTGGAAGAAGAATAAAAACAAAAACGTAGGGACTTCAGATATATTGTTTATAGCAAGAATTTGAGTGACATTTATTGTTAAAGCAGGCAGGGTGAGAATGGGTAGTGTCTACAATGAAGGAAATCTGTGATACTTTCAAAGGGTTTGTTTTCACTAACCACTAGTTTAGGGACCTGGCTCTGCATGTCTTGTGAATTATTTTATTTTTTATGCCTTGGTAAAATACGCTGTGAGATGTTCCACATAAGGGTAAACAATGCATTTTGGTGTGTGCACAGTATCTAACTGACTTCACAGAACATCTGGAAGAGAAAGCCAGAGCCTGAAAGTGTATGTGCTGTCCTTTTGTGAGCCTGCTGTCATGTTTTTCTCAGCAGTTGGATATCTGGTTTAATTGTCTTTGTTTCTGTTACTCATACAATACTTGCTACTAGTAGATGCTGTTAACTTTTCTTAAGTAAAACAAAGGATTTTTTTTATTTTTAATTTCTTGAATACATACTGCATAGACAGGTAAATGGACTGGAAACCAGCTATCAGAATCTGATTCTTTGCCATAGATTTAGCACTGCAGAAGTTTACTGAATAGAAAAAAGGTTTGTTTGATTATACTGCCAACTTCTTATTGGCTTACAAACCCATTCCAAGGACATTAAGAGGATCATCTAGTCCCAAGTAGTTGAAGTGCAATTTGCTGGTAGAAGAAACTTGAAAATGGCAATTAAAGTTGGTTTCTGTTGAGAAATACTTACACTCAAAGCCACAGTGCATATTTTGAGTAGTAAATTATTAACAGAAGAGACTCTTATGATGTAGTTATGAAAATTGTTGTGCAACACTGCAGCAGAAGTTCTTTTAAGGAAGGAAAATAGTTTCATAATACTCATTAGTGATGGGAAAAAGAACATGAGACTTATTTACAGCTCGCCTTAGTGAAATACATTAAACTGTGATTTTACTAAGCAGTTGACATTTTCAGCATAAGGAAGAGGGTTATCCTGAGTGAATACTATTTCACTTTCGCTGAAGGAGCACAGCTGTCATTATTTCTAGCCTGTTCTCAGTGCCTGCGTTTGTGTGGGGGGGAACTGTTATTCAGAATCAAGTCACCGAGATGTTTGCATCAGTCTTCCTGTGAATTTCTGTTATCCAGACTAGTTTCTCTTAAGCCATTAGCTTGTCTTTCTGAATGTCATCTTTGGCATTCAAAACTATAGTTGCAGCTGCAGTTGCCCAAGTGCATTCAGCAGCAGTGCCAAGCTGGAGAAGACCTTCCTTTGTCCAGAGCTGCTTGTTCTCACGACCATATTGCTCCTTCCTCTTGTGTAAGGCGTGAGGGTTCATGCACAGTGAAATGACATTAGGTTGCAGGTAATGGGGTGACTTTCCTAAAGTCTTGCTGCATGAACATCTGTGCTTGGACAGGGGAAGGAATAGAACAGAAGTGAGGAAGGTAGGAAGAAGGCAGAACCACTGTTTTAAGCATTGCTGTGAGTTTGTTGGCTAGAAGTGTTTGTTGAATCACAGTGTGAAATTAGAAATGAAGGCAGAGTTCCAGACATCTGATATCTTGGAGAGCTCTGCGTGGGCTTGTGAGAAACACTGAATGAGCAAAAGTGAGTCTTGCCCACCTCACATCCTCCAGTATTTGGCTTGATTGAGTAAAATCATATCCAGACTCAGTACTTCACATTAGTATACTTTTTAGAGTGACAGTATATATTCTGTATTACATGAGGAGGCTTGCATGGTTGTGGTAACTGGAGTTAGCTCACCTTCCCACAGAGCTTGGGAAATTAATGAGAGGCTGAACTTACAGGGAGCGGGGTGTGAAATGAAAATCATTTGGAGAGCCTTCTGAATGCCTTCTCCTGAATGATAACTGTTTCTTCTGCACTAGAAATGATTGTGGCGTTTAGTTATGGTATTGGGATTTTCATGTGTAACTGGCAGTGTTTGAAATGTAATTTGTATCAGAGGATGAATAGTCTTTAATGTCCATAAAACAAGAGGCAGTGAGAATTTAGGGGCTGGGTTATGATAGCTCAGGGAAAAGGGAGCTTCAGAGGAGCAGTGAGAGATTTGGGATTCTGGCTGCGGTAATATGTTCTGCACAGGAGTACTGCACAGGAGTATGTTCTGCCTCTTGCTGAGTTACCTTATAATTGTGCACATGTGATGACTTAAAAATTAGTTTAAGCCTCAGAGCATTGATTTCCCACCCACCTCACCCCCCTTTCTTCACTCTAGTGACAATCATCTACCTTTGCTTTGTGGCTTGTCACTGCCGCACTCATAGATTACATACACAAATAAGCATGTGTTAAAAACAAAGGATTTTGAATAATAGTGCCTGCATTTTTTTAGGCTTTTTTGTCTTTGTAACTGCTGAAATGTCCTGCAGGAAAATCTGGAACACTTTGGATGCATGACTATCTTAAGTACAAAGCTAGGAAAAAGAAGTATCAGCATTACTTAAAGCTATTGATTTGCAGAAGAACTTCAACACGTGTTGCAACTGTTCTGTTTCTCTTGTGTAATTGTTCATGTTTGGCTGCAGATGGACCTGAACACAAGAGAAATGAGCCCTCTGGTGCTGTATGGCCCAGCAGATGTAAAATGGAGTTATTGAAATGTTTGACTTTTCTTTCTGGAAATAACCTTGACTCAAAACTGGGCAGAAATAAGCAATTAGTTGCAGAACTAGTAAAGAGCAGTAGTGTTTAAGTATTCATTTACAAGTAGGCAAGGAATGTGTACTGCTTATAGTTTCAATATTTCTGTTTTATATTGAGGAAGTGAGATGTGACATTGTCAGCTGTTCTTTAGTTGAGATTTCGATTGCATATGTTTAGAATTGTATGGCCAGTTGAAAGCACAAGCTTGACGATATGTCTCTTGAAGATGTGAATTTCTTTTTTTTCTGATTCACAAACTAAATTTACAACTTGAAAGTCTGTAAACTTGAAATAATTACTTTGTCTAAAAAAGCTTCTCCAGAGGGGAAGGGGTTTTTTAATACTGAATTTAGAAAGAACTGAAGCTTTGCTCGTTCAGTGCCACAAGTATCTAAAACAAGTTACTGGATTCACTTGATTGTGTGTTTGGATATGCAACAATTCTCATATTAATACTGTTTTTCTTATGTGAAGAATATCTGATGTACACAGTCAGTTTTGTAACAACCAAAAACTGAGTTGTGAGCACATAGTTTCTTTAAAGAAATGCAAATAAAATCAGTGTTTGCAGTTTGTCAAGAAAGATTTCACCACATCATCTTATGACCACTGGATACCCTTGTTTCTACATTAAAATGCAAAGTATTGTTTCTCAATAGAAGTCTTTTTTCCTTTCCTTCAGTATTTGCAAACGATGTATTCGAAAGATGGATCACCACTGCCCCTGGGTGAATAATTGTGTGGGGGAGAAAAATCAGAGATTTTTTGTTCTGTTTACGGTAAGTGGAAAACAACAGCAGCTTGATCTCATCTACCTTGATTATAACAATTTTGGTTACGCTTAGTAGTGGGTAATGGCTTAAGGGCTCAATTGTTTTGCGTTGGTTTTGTTTGGGTTTTTTTCTTCTATGCAAGATATTCCCCAAGCAGGAAGATATTTCTACTCATACTCATTTTAATCTTGTAAAATGCTGTTATTTTAAACTATCCTAATTTTGCTGTGTTTTATGTAGTAACAATTGGTGAAGTGGAACTGTGATTTAGGGAGCTAATCTTTAAACTTTCATTGTTACCCACGTTTGTAGATTGAAGCTTAATTAGAATTTGGTTTTGTATCATTGTATTGAATTAAAAATTGAAATAGGAAAGTATATTCGCTGTGCAGTGGTGAAGGCTGGCTGACAGGAATGTCTGGTTTACTACCTGGCAGCAGTCAAAAGTAAGCACTCTCTCTTATTTCCAGATGTATATAGCCCTAATTTCAGCTCATGCGCTCATACTGTGTGGGTTTCAGTTTTTCTCCTGTGTCCGAGGGCAGTGGACTGGTAAGCAAATACCTAACTTTTACTGTCCTAATCTAGCAGATATTAAGAGAAAGTCATAGCATTCCTCCTAATTCAGTCCCATGTATGAAATATTACAGGACTTCAATCTTTTTAAAGTAAAGTCTTGAAAATATTTCATACCTATTTACCCATCTCTCTCTCTCTTTCTTTTTTTTTAAATTTTTTTTTTTTCCCCTGTAGTCATTCGCTGTAAGAGCTGTGGCTGTCAAGGGCATTCTCACTCCCTTTCCACACAGTAAAAATTTACTGCCTCTGTAATAGGAAGGAAACAGATAGCTGGTCCTCAACAACCTCAGTACTGTATTACCTGAAGCTGTCAGCTGGACTTTGTGTGTCCCACCACAGTTCTGTGAACGACAGCTGAAACTTAAATTTCTCCCTTGTTCCGTTACTGGAGCCAACTGTGGGGCTCCTGTAGAAAAGAAATTTCCTAAACTGTCCCAGTTGTTTGGTTAGGCCTCTGACTTGCATTTCTTAATGTTCCAATGTGCCAGAGCTAATTCAGATCTTGTGCTTTTGACAGAGGATGGTTGATCATATGTTCTTCCTGGTATGTGGAGCAACAGGGGAATCCATGTGATTGTTTTTTGCTGAATATTCCGTTAAATGGATGGAACCTTAGTCCTTTTTTTACTTGAAACATTCTGCTTCCTGTATACTATCCCATTTCTTCTTTGTTTAACTATAATTGAATTAATCAGTTGATCAGGCTTCTCCAGAGATGTGACTGTAAGTGTAAGTCAGAACCTGATTACTTTGTGTCGTGAATTAAAAAAAAAAATAATAAAGCAATCACAGCAAAATGGAACATCTGGATTAACTCGCAAGTCAGAGCTGACAGTGGTGATGGTTTTTACAGCGTTTGTCGTGCATGAAACTTCAGGCTGCTCTCATCTTTGTATGTGTGCAGTTTCGAGTACTTGAAAGATCGCGTGTGCAAACATTTATTTGATATCCTTGAAATATTGAGACAGGATTGCAGTAATGCAGTACCATGTGCTTTATGGGAAGGCAAAAGTGTTAACTGCCATAAAATTCTTTATTTCCTTTTGCAGCAAATAAAGCTACTGCAGTGCTAGAAATTAGAAGTTTGTTTTAATTGTGAAATATTGTTTAAAGTGTCAGATATTTGGCTTTTATTGCTGTTTGTTGAAGAGGGGATGTCTCAGTATGAACATGCTCTATAGATTTATTTTTTTTTTAACTACATGTATCATTTTCACAGAATGCAGTGATTTCTCCCCACCTGTAACTGTGATCCTGATGATCTTCTTGTGCCTTGAGGGTTTTCTGTTTCTCACTTTCACTGCAGTCATGTTTGGCACCCAAATCCACTCAATATGCAATGATGAAACGGTAAAGACCTCTACTTTTGTATGCTGTAACAATTGTTCTAGGAAGATGTGATTAGGTGTTATTTCATTTGCATGAGGGGAGGCTCTTATTTTGGAGAAAACCCCAAATCTGAAATAGCTCATCATTTTTGTTTTCTACAGTTGTAAGGATTGAAATACTTTCTTGGGGTTTGCTTTCTAACAGAAGTTCTTGCATTATTCGGTTTTCTGACATATATTTAATAATTAGGTTTTCAATTACAAAGATTGCACAGCCTCTGACGTCGGTCTGGACTTTCACTTCTCAACTATCACAAACCCCTGATATGTGTCATGGGAAGTGTCTGCTTTTCTCAGGTTTACACTTAACTAGCTATCTCATATCAACCCTTCACACTTCCCTCTGCTTTGATGCTCTTTATTAGAGCATAACCATAGTTCGGACCTTTGGCTCCCTTGCCCTTAGATGTGCAGTGTTAAGCCTCAAGAGGATGTTTTGTGATGGATAATTGGCTGGAAACATAAGGAATTTGAATCATGCGTCTGTCCATAATTTTCTCATGTGAGGCTGTTTAAAAGTGTGCTTCAGTACTGAGGACTAACTGTAAAAAACAGTTGGTAAATATGGAACCTTCATTAGTGGGAAGTACAAAAAGTGATCATCAAAATAATGCATTTGGGAGAGTAAGCCTGGCTTCAGTAATTGCAGTAAAAGAGCCTTCTTGGAAGCCTTATTGTCTGGTTTCATTAACTGAGTAAATAACTTCTAGTGTAGGTGTATTGCGTGCAAATCCTCTAGTGTAACATCATCTTTTCTCGTCATTTTGTCTTTTAGTTTGAGGAGGGAAGAGGTAGAGGTAGACCAACCTTCTGGTACACATTTTATGTTCTGAGCCTTCTGCCCTGTACCCACAGGGCTAAATCAGCCGTTCTTATTTTTTCCTTACTAAATAAATAACAGAAAGAAACTAATCAGCTCACTAGCCATACATTACAAGAATGCAAATTAGTCACCAGTTTTGATAACTGCTATTAGAATTTACTAAACTTCAGACTTAACAGTGCATCACTGCATGTCTGTTTATATACAGGAGATTGAAAGACTGAAGAGTGAAAAACCAACATGGGAACGGAGACTACGTTGGGAAGGAATGAAATCTGTTTTTGGGGGTCAGCCTTCACTCCTGTGGATCAATCCTTTTGCAGGATTTCGAATCAGGCGACTTCTACTGAGAGCAAAGAAAGGAGGACCTGAGTTTTCTGTTTGAGTCTAATTATGCTGGAACTTGGAAGAATACTATATAATATTTATTTGGGGCCAGAGAAGGCTGTCTACTTATAATCTGTGACCAGGTGAAACTGATACCAGACATTTGCTTGTAGCAAGCAGTTTTATACGTTTATTGTCACAGACATCTCATTAACTTTCAGAGACGCGAACTGGATCTGTAATGGTCTTAACAGCAAGATAACAAAGGAAAAGCACGTGATCACACTAAAGAAGCCAAATGTTGTCATGCTACTGTAATTTATGAGATTAATTATCCATTTTTGTTAAACCCTTTTGATTTGGTAAATGTTTGGGGAATTACCTGTGTGTTTTTATAAAAAGTATATACTTAGGTGCAGTTGTCAATCATAAGGAGGAGCATTCTGTTGAAAGTTAATCTCAAATGAGACCCTAGCCTTCTAAATCCAGTTTTCAGGGAATAGTGGTTTGTTCAGTTTTAATTTATGTTTCAGCTTATCCTGATAAACAGAACTGTACTCTTGTGTCCCACTTCAGGCACACATTCCTCATATGCAAGTGATTCAAAGGACTGGTGCACACAACAGCATAACACATCAGAGGCACTGTTACACCCCTGCCAAATGTCTTCCCAGGCTCACAAAAGCATGTCTTTCTTTTTGGCGGTATTAATCTCATATGGCATTTAGGTATGTTCTAAATCTTCAGTAAACAACACTTTTAACTAACAGCTGTGGGCCAAATTCTGCCCTCAGATATGCATCTCCAATTCTTAATGCATTGATTCTAGAGGAACTTAAGTGTAGATGTTTGAGGATTTTATCTAGTCCTCTGCAGGGATTAGTGGGACCAGTGACTGTATCCTCCTGTGTGAGATTCAAATGATTGTACTGCAGATTGGACTTAATTAACTGAAAACAGTTGTCTTTGTAAGGTCTTGCTCTGCCCTTTTTTTTTTGTTGTACAGACTTTTCATAGAAGGAAAGCTGTTAACTTAATGATCCTTTGAACAAAGGCATCAGAGGAATGAGGGAGGTTGCCTCTTTCTCAAGTAAAACAGATCTTAAATGTAGAAAGATCTGCAATAGAAGGAATTATTTTGAATTTAACTGTTTTCCAACCAAATTACTTTCAAGAAGTGAGAGCAATATAGATCTAGAACTGCTTTATGTGGGCCTGACAAACAACAGTAGTGCTAAGAAATGTTTATAAATCTGCAAGTAATGAAATACAACCTGCAAGTAATGAAATTGAGCTAAAAGTGGATTCTTTAAAAATTACATTTAGACTATTTTTTGTATTACTGTTAATCTGTTCTATAAATTACTGACAATATAAAGGATAAAGCAGGAGCCTTGATGCATAGCTTGAAATCGTGCCTAGAAAGTGAATAGCTCCCTGTTCTGGGACTTGCCTTAAAATTGTCCTGTTCTTGCTTTTGCTTTGCCAGTAGCACTGATGATCTGTCCCACCTTAAGCAGTTCAATGTGCTGAAGAATCTTACATTATAAAGTTTACATACTACAGAAGCTATACTTTCTTTTTTCAGTGACCTGCTTCTCTGTTTCTTTGTAACTGTGGCATTTTGATTCCAGCTTCATCAGGTTTTATTAGGTGGGTGAAATTACTACGGGATCCATTTATTATCTGTGGCCCTGCGAACAAAACTGTGCAATACTATGTAATAAGTTCACTTTGCTTGGGGGCGATGATGTGTAATACTGGAGTATTTCTAGGGGGGACACATCCAGTGAAATTGCAGTCAAATGAACAAAACTACATCTCGTGTAACTGAGGGGAAAGTTGGAAGTTCCACGAGAATCTTTGCTTATTCAGTTGCACATCTTAAAGATTGAGAAAAAATGTGTCTGGCTTTGTCATGAGGCTTTTAATATGTATATTGTTTAATAAAATATCATGAAATCAGAAAATATCACTTCAAGCGGTTGAACCCTGTGACTTAGCAAGTGTGTGCGTGTGTGAAATCAGGTTTACTTGGCTTTTCAAACCCTTGTTATGTTGTAATTTTTTTATGTAAAAAAAATAAAGTAATGAATTGAGGTCTTAAAGTTGATTAACTCCTGCTCTCTCTATGTCACTTTTTTTCACTTATACATGCATATGCCCATATATTAGATGACAGCAGCTTCAGGGTAATGGTCTTGCATCCTTTGGCTTGTAATTTATATGTACGTGTGTATCAAGTAACAGATGATACTGCTCCAAATTAAAGATGCTATTCTGCTTATTAAGGATTTTAAGCTATGCTAACTGCTTAGCTGCTCTTAGGCATTTCCTTTTCTTCATCCTCTGGTGTAACTGCTTACCTTCTTGGTACCTGTTTGGCTAAGGCGGTGCAAAAACACGCGATAAATACTTCCTATCTGAAAACAGAGTATCTCAGGCTTTGCACCTTCAAGGTATTTGTATGAAATACAGGTTTGGATTCCCTAGTTTCTCTGTGCAAATGTTGACCTTTGCCACTAGTTCTGTATCTTGAGATACAAAGACAGCCAATTATGCAGCCTAGAAAGCTGCAATTCAGGTAGTTGTCAAGAGAACAACTGACCAACAAAGGAGAGGACGAGGAAGGAACAAGGTTTACAAAGGCAATAAAGGATGGAGAGACTGAAAGCAATTTATTTCCCAACAATTCTAAAATATACTTTGGTACCTTTCCTGGGTATAATTACACACTTGTACATTGCTGTTTCTGTTTAGAAAATAGCTCCAAATACATTCGTATAAACTTTGTGCCACTGCTTTTTGTATTTTTAAGCAGGTTAATGATTTGATTATATTGGTATGCAACAACAGTTAGGCTGTGCTGTATTTACATGGATTTTAGGGAAGAGCTTGTTTACTCTCCAAATGGAACAGATGTCTCTGCAGATGGATCCTGCTAGTTTATCTCTTTTTTGTTTTCTTGTTTAATTTCTAGTAGTAATGTCAGGCTGTTTCAGGAACCCTTTCTGAAGTCTTAGACTGCAGCAGTTGTAAGTGAGAATTCATTTATGCACTTCTTTATGCCTATCCTGTGCGGAAGTGTTGTGTTTCTATGATTGTTATCACTTCTGTTGGCACTGTTGTTAATATGTGAAAGTATTCAATGCTATTGGAGAAAGAAAGTGCATAAGAGGTTTTGAAATACAGAAATTGGACTGTAAAATGATTCATTAATCTGTTAATAACACTAAAATGAAATGCACCTGCATTACAGTTCTGCATATCTTTTTTTAGTGTTATTCCTCTGGAAGGAGTAACAGTTCAATTCATGCAATGTATTTTGTGGTTGAATATTGATTGGTGCTTCTTGATTGATGAGATTGAATGACACAAGCAAAAAAATTTAATATTCTTTTTTTGTGTGTGTGTTCCGAATTTCTTCATGGCGAAATACTACTATTCATTTTTTTCAGTATTTCCTGACTGTATTGCAGTAGCATATATGCTACTGTAATGCACATTACTCTTGTTATACCCAGATAGAGCTCTGGAAAATAGCCAGCCTGTATCAAAGCAATCACAGCCTTAATTTCTTAGTAACAGAAGTGAAACTTTGCACCTCTGACATATTTCTGCAATTTCTCTTAATACTGTAGTGCAGGATAAAGTTAATATAAGACCTAGGTTCAATGTTAATAAAGTCAAATGTTATAATTGGCAAGGAAATTGATAACTTACAGAGAAATAGATGAGGCTTTATTACCCGAGATGCACAATTCATAGTGTTCTGACACAGCAGCTGGTATCTTTCCAGACAACTAAAGTATTTTTAAATGAGGGCATTGTAGTTAAATATTGGTTTAATTTAGAGTGGGGTTTGACATAGGGAAGCCAGAAAGATTTTTGCTGTGAATCTCTTCTGGCCCTTAATACAGGTCCCTTGTGAGACCGTAGATTATTCTTGCTGTAAACCTTCACCAGACTAGCTGAACGCTGGAGACTGAATCTGATACCTACTTATTCCTGGGCAATTTTATTTTCTTCTATGAGATAATATCTTAGATTATTAATTACATCAGTCTTAAGTGAAAGCTGGACTTTGCAGCCATAGGTGATTCCTTTTATGAAAAATAAATCCCTAAGGTCAAAAATCCCAAAGGTATTTCCATTGGAGAAATCAGTAAAGAAACTTGAAAACTTGGTTTTGAATTAAAGAAAAAAGGCAAACTGTCCATATGAAATATGAGAATATGGAATTTATTTCCCCCATAGATTTATTTTCTTACCATTAATGAGTATAAATGTACATTTAATTTCTAGAAAAATAATGTAATCTGCGTGATGGAGGAACCGGAAGCAATGTTAGCCAAGTACATTTGCATCTGGCATGCAGCAGAAATGCTTGCAGTGGAACCTGGTTTCCAGATATGGCTGCTTCAAATCAAAGTTATCAGCATATAAGGTCAGATCAAATTCATCATAGACAGTAGAAAAATAAAACATTGTGATCCTAGGTGAAATTCAACCCAGTCTTCAGTGGTTTTTCAGATCTCCCTTGGGCTGTAGAATGGCAACTCTCAAATATCTCCCCAATGAATGAAATACAAAGCATTCCCCTGTTGATGGAAGTTCAGATGCTCTTCCCGACTTCTCTTTCAATCAGTAAGTTTGCATTTCCATAGCGTCCTCCGTCTGAGGAGCTCAAAGTGCTGCACGAGCGTTAGTGACACGAGCTTCACAGAGCCACGGCTGGGCGCCGTCGTCTCATTTCTGCCACAAACAGGGATGCACGTGGGTTGACGGATTTGCACAATGTGCAGAACTAAGAATTCTCCATTGTGTCCAACTCAGTAGGGCCGCTCCTGCTGCCTCAAGAGCTGTCTGACGGAGGTCGTTGGACTTTTATACAGATGAGCGTAGGTTTTGTAGAAATCTGACAATCTGCTTTCTAATAAAGCCCAATTCCTTCAAATAAACGCCGTAACACAACAGCTGCACTTAAAGAACATTTGAGATTGTATAGTCATTTATTTGGCTTATTTTAAGTAGTTGTGGCATGGTTAATAGTTGGTCACCTACCACTGATTAAATTTTACATTAAGTGCAGAAGCACCTTATGTTTTAAACAAACACAAACATTTTTTGTAATAAATGGCTCATAGGAGACCTGCCTCTTCCTTTTTTGGCTCGTTTAGAGCTTTGAAGTTTAAGTTGCAGACATTACGAAGACATATAGTACTACAGCAAAATCGTATCTGTATGCTGGGAAAAGCTTTTCTTTGGCATTGTAGTCACAGCTGTTGGTTCTTCCAAATATGTTTGCAGTAAAAGTTTGCAGAAGAAACAAAGCGGTGATTTGGTAAGTCAGCTTCTTGAGCTTCCTGGCAGTTGTGGGTTTTACCAGACCCAGCAGCC